CCTGGGATAAAGCCCAATCAAGCTAATTTTCAAGTGAATTTTCAAAAGATCAAGTTCACCCTATAGCCTCCACTTGTAGCTTAAAATGTCAGAAGAAATCTGAAGAACCAGTCCACAAAAAATGGAGCCCAATGGATCAGTATTACAGCCTGGAGAAATAATTTTCATATTTTGTAAAAAGGACCCCAGACACCCTGTGACAGCTATGGAATGATGGTATGGTATGGTATGGAATGGTATGGAATGGTATGGAATGGTATGGTATGGTATGGTATGGTATGGTATGAGGTGGAATGGTATGGTATGAGGTGGAATGGTATGTGGCATCCATACCATGGTATGATGGAATTGGTATGAGGGTCATACCACTCTGGAATGGGGTACCACTAAGGTTCCCTAATTCAAAGAATTGGATAACCTCATAGGTACCCAAAAATGGGTGACTGAAGTGCCAGATGGTTGGTTTTGGGGGAGGTTCCGCAGTCGGCTACTCTCACGGTTGGCAAGGGCGCTTCCAGAAGCAGGAGGAGGCATGCCAGTAAACAAGGAAATGGGGGGGGGCATCTGTGCCTGAAGAGTCGTTGTTACGGACAGAGGAGCCGGGATTGGTACAGAGGTTAAAAGAGCCATTTGATTGGCTGGTTCACCAGAAGGAGCAATTGTGCTACAGAGACAAATTTTACTTTTATGATCGTTGATATAATCAAAATAATAATACACATACTTGTATGCTTGATGATAGCTCCATCTCTCACTGCAAATACAAATGGCAGCTGGGCTCCAGTGACCAATGACCTGAGAGACGCAGGAGGTGAGTATCACATAAAGATTCAGTATACTGGACTTCCTACCATGTAAAATCCCCCACAGTTGGACGCGGGACACTCGCCTTTGCGATAAGGGAAGAGTGGATGGCTATCTGCCATGGGGAAATTTCTGTGGCTGAGCCAAGGATGCCGACAGCCTGCGCACTGCTCATCCTTGTTGTTCGGATTCTAAAAAGTGTCACCGGTTAGCAACTTCAACAGAAGTTGTGACTCGTGAGATGGCGGTCTTACTGCTCTAGGTAAGAACGCCTGTGTCACTGGGTCGACACTGGTGGCAAAAAACTCTGCACAGGGGCAGAAGATGCATGAGCGACGTGGTGGAAGGGTACTCATAGTTAAAAATGAGAATAAAAAATTATGGAGAAGAGACGTTGATTGGCGGTCAGAATGAGGGGAATGGGAAGAGACTCAAGGTCAAATTTCTTCTTCGTGTATATAACACTGGTCATGAGGACCCCCATCCTCTGTCATGGGTTCAAAATAACTTTGCAACCACAGGAACAATATCAAATCCCTGATTGTGTGGCGAGGAGAATTGGATATTGCTGATGGGGTCCTGGTACTGGGC